CTGCTGTGGATGTTGCCTTGTTCATCCCCCATGGTCACTGTCACGGCCCGGACCTTGCTGAGGTCGAAGTTCATGTCATGCTGGTGGTAGTCAGGAGTGACCCAGCCCACCCACACACAGCTGGGCTCCTGGCCAGCGAAGACTCTCACAGAGTAATAGTACTGGGGAGGCAAGGGGGAGACCACTGGTCAGTAGGGGACGACCGAAGAGTCGGAGGTTCCCTGGGATTGTGGATGGGTTTCCTTTGGGATTCCTGGGGTCCTCTGAGAGTTTTACAAGACATCGGTGGGCTAGGGACCTCTTGGGCCCATGTTTCTCTGTTTCTGTGTCTACTGGTGTGGTCTCCCAGATTCAGGAGTTCCTAGGGACTATTTTGTGATACCGCCCTAAGACGGAGGGCCCATCCTAGGATCCAGCAAAGTTATAAAGCATAGCTCACATTACCATAACACGAAGGTCTTTACAAAGGGGGCCTGGTGGCCAAGTGGTCAGGCCAACTGCAGTTCAAGGTCAGCAGTTCAAACCCACCAGCCACTCCAAGGGAGAACGAGGCTTTCTGCTCTGGTCAAGAGTTACTACCTCAGAAACCCACAGAGGCAGTTCCACTCCATCCTACAGGGTTGTTGAGTCGAAATGTACTCAACCACAGCAGTGAGCTTGGTTTAGGGTTTTAGAGTATATTGGAGTATCGAGTTACTGGGGTTTGCAACACAACATTTGGAAATGTGGGAGTTCCAATGCTTTGCTGGTGGGGGCCCCAAAGCCAAGGTCGCACCGTGGTAGTGTTAAGGATGATCTCAGGGTCATCTCGGTCATCAGTGGGCACCACATCATGAGGGAGTCGGGGCAGGGTGGGCGTGGCTGGCGGCTGGGTCATCATGGCCACCTTCTTGGCCTTGAATAAGAACCTGGTGGTGGGGAGGAAAGGCTGACATGAGTATTCTTGCCCTGCCCCACCCTGCTTCTAAGACCCAAGGCTGCAGCTCCCTGCACTGCCCCGCCATGACTGTTCCGTGTCTGCTTTAAGTGCCTCCTCTCATGCCTGGGACTGCTCAAGTGAAAGGTGCTTGCTGGAGATGTGGGGCACAGAGTGGTCCCCCATAAGTCGGCCTCTCTCAGATGTGTGCTAAAGGCATTGTAGAAAGCACCGTTCTTCACTCTTCACACCGTTCCTCACTTTCTTTGTCTTGTGCAAAGAAAGACCCCTACAAAAACCTCCCAGCAGGGACCCCCTAGACTGTGATAACCGAAGAAATGCCCCATCATTTCAAACACACACCCCCGCCCCCACTCCCAGGGTGCACAATTACATTCTCTCAAAAGCCGCTGCCATGGTAAGGGGAAAGGGGACTTGGTTCCAGTGGTACCTCTTGAAGGTCTTCCTCTGAGACACACAAACAGCCCCAGTTTAGAAGACTACCTGGTGTCCACTGGGACGCCTGGGGTACACTCAGCTCTCCCAAGACACTGATGTTCCCATTAGTGTCCCTGAGCGATGGAGTCCCTTGGGTGGAGGAGTTCTTTGGGGTCCATCAAATATCTCAAAGATAGTGGAGCTCTCCAAAGATAGAGTAGGGTACTCCAATCTCTCTACCTCATAGAAAGGAGAGCATCTTAAGGCAATAATGGGGTTCACTTGAGACACGATGGGACCTTTTAGGATGCTGACTCCATTAGCCAGGCATGGGGCCTTGTGGTAGACATATAATCGATTGTCAATTTGAGGATTAAGAGTGAAGGGGTGGAGTCTAGCTTGTCAATCAGATCATAGCCAATGAGGCCTCTGTGTGGGCATGACCTTCTCCTGAGAATTCTGGGAAATCTAGTACTTCCTCCTTGGAGGTGGGAGACTCTCTGCTCACACCCTGGGAGACATAGCAGCTGACAAGGCACATGGACCCACCCTGATGCAGCCCTGGATGCTGGAGAAGCCATGCAGAGACCCCTGCCAGTGCTGAGATGTTTCCAATGCCACTGGATCCAAAGACTTTCTACCCACTGACCTGTGATATGCCTGCACTCATCATCATTGCATGTGTTTCGTGAGTCTGAAGAGGACTTTATAGATTGGTATCGGACATATGGGCTAATATCAGACTGATGGACTTGATCTGGACTGGGCTGGGATGTTTTCTAGATGTTCAATTGCTCTTGTATATAAATCTCTTTCTTATACACATAATGTGTGTGTGTGTGTCCATGGATTTGTTTCTCTAGTCTACCCAGACAAACACAGGCCTCTTCAGGATACAATGAGGTTTTTTTGTTTGTTTGTTTTTAAGTCATTGAGGATGGCTCAGTGGGAGGCCTAGGAGTCCTGCTGGAACTGTCAGTTAAATGCAGGGCAGCTAACCACAAGGTAGACAGTTCAAACCCACCAGCGGCTCTACAGGAGAAAAATGAGGCTATTTGATTCAGTCAAGACTTACAGCCTTGGAATACAGGGTGACTATGAGTTGGAGCCCTGGTGGTGTCAGCGACAAGGTCAGCAGTTCTAAACCACCAGCCCCTCTGTGGGAGAAAGGTGAGGCTTTCTCCTCCCATCAAGAGTTGGAGTCTCAGCAACCCCTGGGGCAGGTCTGCCCTGTCCTATAGGGTCCCTATGCGCCTGCCTTGACTCAATAGCAGTGGGTTTGCTATGAGGAATGGGAAATGGATGGTAGTGGGCTTTCTGAGTTAACTGGGGATCTTAGGGCTGACCCCATCCCCCACCCCCAAATCCCAAAGCCTCTTGCAACTCTCAACTCACCCTCTCTTCTTGTTCTTCTCCGTGGTTGCGTCCTTCTCATTCTCCACCTTGGCGGGCTGGGCCTCGCCCCCAGCCTGGGACGTGCCCCCTGGCGCCCCCTCCTTGGCGGTTCCCTCTTTGCCCCCTTCCCCCTCCCCCCAGCGCCCAGCAGAGCGGCGCAGGTTCTCATAGTCAGGGTCGGGCTCTGTGGCCCGGGCCTCGTCCTCTGCGGGGGGCTGCAAGCCTGGGGGGGCCAGGGGCGTGGCCCCTGCCGTGCAGCGGAAGTGCTGGTAGAATTGGACAGGGAGGCTCAGGCGAAGAAAGATCATCTCCACGAGGCTGTTCTGGGAGCCCCAGGTCCGGTGGGTCAGGCGCAGGCAGGGGGGCGTGTCCACGGTGCCGTCCACGCGGGACACCTGTGCGGAGAAGCCTGGTCACGCGCAGAGCCACCATCCCGCCTTAACCACCTTGCTCCGGGCGGAAGCAGCCCCTTGCAGGTGCAGCCTGGCCTCTGCCCTCTGCTAGAACCGCCCGGGGGTGGGGGTGGGGGGTCTTAAAAATCATACTCACACGTAACAAAGTGGCTCAAAAAAGTACTAACATGCCTAAGTCCTGTCAACTGTCGGCCATCGTGTGATCACCAGGGCAGGGTAGAAATGCTCCCTAAGGCTGGGACTCTTTACAACGTATAGGCATGACTTTGTGGCAGGGATTTGCTATTTCTACTTATTACTATTATTATTATTTTTTTGAGACTCTCCTGGCTAGGGTTGGAGTCAAATCTGTCAATCAAGGGGTAGCTTGATGAAGCCACCTTGGGGGTGTGGCCTTCTGTCTAAGAGGGAGGGACTTTGGGAATTGCTTCTCTCAGCCACTCTGCTTCCCTGCCTGCTCAAACTTGGGATGTCTCCCTGGCCCTGTGTGGGCTGCGTGTTCCTGAGAGCGGTCGGTGCCCTGCTCTGTTTCCACAGTCTTTGGATCCACTCGACTTTCTACCCATCAGCCTGGGATCTTTCTGCTCCCCGTTCACCATTCTCCATCACTGGCACGTGGCTACGTGTGTCTGAAAAGGGACTTAAGGTCTAGCATCGAACTTATGGACTTGAATTGGACTGGGCTAGGATGCCTTCTTGAGATATAATTACTTTTTTATATAAAGGTCTTTCTTAGACATAGATGAGTGTCACTGGATTGGTTTCTCTAGAACCCAGCCTAACACAGGAGAACGCCTCGCCTCGTCTTTCTCCTTTGGAGCAGCTGGTGGTTTTGAACTGTGGACCATTGAGTCACACTACACTACCAGAGCTCCTGTCCTAAGTCCTGTACGTTAGAAAAAGCACTCCTATTAGGCCAAGGGTCCACAATTATGTTTAAACAAATGTGAGAAGGTGGTGGGCAAGAAAATGAGCCTCCTGGAACCAGAACAAGCAGGGCAGAGATCATGAAACTGTGCATGCCAAAATTCCAACTCACGGAACACCCCACCCGACCCCACGCAGACCCAGTGGAACTGCTCCATAAGGGGTTGTTGCCTGTCATCGGTAAGGGTCCCCAAGCCCCGAAGAGCCCTGGTGGTGTGGTGGGTTACAAGGTCAGCAGTTTGAGACCACCAGCCACTCCTCAGGGGAAAGGTGAGGCTTGCTATGCCTGTAAGGATATACAGTCTCAGAAGCCCACAGGGCCAGTCTACCCTATCCTCTGGGGGTATTATGAATCCGAGTCACTGGGTTGGTTCAAATCGGCAATCGTTGGGTTAAAAGTTGAGCACAAACTGTTTGCAACACGACCTCCCTCGTGAGATTTGTGTGTGATCTGAGTAACTAACTGTCTCTCGGTTCTTCTTCTCAGACTGCAACCCTTCTTCTGGAGGATCACTGGGGTACTCTGGTAGTTACATAATCTGTTGTCAATGTGAGACTTAAGAGTGAAGGGGTGGAGGTTAGCCTGTCAATTAGGTCGCAGCTTGATGACCTCATTTGGAGGCACTAAGGAGATAAATAGCTCGCTGGAGGAGGGACACATGCTCCCTCCCTACAAGACATTACTGACAATGAGCCTGATGGAGCTGGAGGAGCCACGTGGACAACCCTGCCAGTGCTGAGATGCTTACACCGCCACAGGATCCACAAGACCTTCCACCCACTGGCCTTTGATCTTCCTGAATTCAGCATCGTTGCATGTGTTTTATGATTCTGAAGAGGACTTTATAGATTGGTATTGGATACATAGGCTAATATCAGACCTATGGACTTGATCTGGACCAGCTGGGATGTTTTCTCAATATTAACTGCTCTTGTCTATAAAGCTCTTCTCATACACATATGAGTGTCTATGAATTTGTTTCTCTAGTCAACCCAGACTAACACAGGTACCAAGATTAGCTTTGCTCGTTCTCAGAAATGGGATGGAATCCCAATCTAAGTGCTCTCTTGTGTCTGGCATCCTTCCCTCAACTGTCTGCCTATGAATTCCTCAACGTGGTTGGTGTCTTCTAGTTTCTTTACTCTCACCACTGCCTGGCCTTCTGCTCCCTGGGCGATGCAATGAGACATCAGGGTTGAGAACACCATCCAGGCAGTGCCAGGGGCTAGCAGGGCACGTCCAATCCACCATCCTCTCTGGCCTGAGTCCTATAGCTCCAGCTACCCCTGGTCTTCCTGCTTCCGCTCCGACCCCCTTTGATTCACTCCTCAAAGGGACCTTTCCAAGGTACAGATCTCACCTGGGCATCCCTTACCTAAAGCCTTTCCATCTTCACCTAGTCTGACAATCGTCCCCTCAAAATTGCTGGTTAATTACCAAGAGAACAATAATAATTGACAGTGGGGAGACTTGGTAGAGTCCTACACCCTTGCCCACTCGTGAGAGTTCACACCATCGGTTCTGAGCCAGAGGGACATCATCTTTCCCCTGGTAAGGTGAGGCCATGTCATCACTTCTGTGACATTCCTGGCAAACAGGTGTGACCTGGACGTCATCACAAGGACACGCCAGACAAGCCCAGAATGAAGGACCTGCTACAAAATAACCGGCCTGCCCTCTTCCCAACTGTCAAGATCACGAGACACAAAGAGAGGCTCAGGAACAGTCTAGATTCAAGAGACATGGGAGTGTCGGTGATGCGTTGGGTTAACCATTGGGCTTCTAACTGCCAGGTCGGAGGTTCAAACTCACTGGCCATTCCAAGGGAGAAAGATGAGTTTGTCTGCTCCAGTAAAGATGTACAGTCTTGGACCCCTCGTGGATCAATTGAATTCTGTCCTACAGAGTCACTTCGCAGTAGAATCAACTCGATGGCAGTGGGTTTGGATTTTGTTGTACTTGTAATACATAATTCTAAACTGGACCCTGGATCAGGGTTTGGGAGAAGGAAGCTATGGCCCCCATTGACAAAATGTGCACATGGACGGTGAGTTAGATTAGGTAATATAACCGACTTGGCGGCACCGAATAGCAATCCTCTCGACAACTCAATAGAAAATAAATCAAGCCCACTACCATTGAGTCACGGTTGTCCTGGGGGGAGCAGTGGGCTACAAGTTGGCCTGCTAACCACAAGGTCGGTGGTTTAAACCCACCAGCTGTTCCGAGGGGGAAAGAGGAGGCTGTCTGCTCTTATGAAGAGTGACAGCCTTGGGACCCCCGGAAGCAGCTCTACACTGCCCGATTGGGCCCCTGGGAGTCAGAGTGGACCCTAAGGCAGTGGACCCTGGAGCCAATTGCAAATCATGTCATCCTCCAGTGTCCCATGGGGTCTCCCTTCCCTATTTCCTAAGGGAAGAACTTTGACCTCAGAAAGGTTGGGGCTCACCAAGGTGGTACCCCCAAAGGATGCCATCAATCTGACAGCCCCTGCTCCAAAGCCTGTGTGCTCCCGTGGAGGGGGAGGAGAATCCTGGGAAGAAGAAGGAAATCAGAGGGTGTGGAGTGGGGAGCGATTGGTCCTCACCTCGTAGTGGGGGTGCTCAAGGGGTACAGCCTCAAACTGGGGGAGACTTTTGCTGAACCAGGTGGTGACAGGGCGCTGCATGTTGATGGCAAAGGGCTCAAAGCCTTCCTGCAGGCCGCAGATGGCGAAGAACCGCAGGGAACTCACATCCTGGCCCAGGTTCAGGTGGCCCACCTGGCCAGGTCCCAAGCTGCAGACGGGCAGGAAGCCTGTGGGGAGGATACAGAGGCGGCAGGGGGAGGGAATAGGGTGGGTGGGCAAGGCCAAGGGGTGGGGAGGAGGTACCGTGGGAGGGAGAGATGGGAAAGCAGGAGGCTGGCGAGGGTCAAAGTGGGGTCCGTTAGCACAGCGGAACACCACAATAGGCACGTGTCGGGGCCTGAGTCCACAGTCAGCCCTCACCTTCCCCAATCTCGATGTCCCGGAAGGCTGTCTCGGAGCCGGAGTCAGACATGAGGACCTCTCCATTGAGGGTGAAGATGATGTTGTTCTCCGAGAGATCGATCATGCAGCCCACCACGTCGCCAGATTGCCAGGGACGCCCGAACGGCTCACTGCCCAAGTGCCAGCGCTGGCCCTGTGAGGACACCCCGGGGACACACCGCACAGGGGGAGGCACACAGAGAAAGACAGAGGCAGGAGGAGAGTGACAGGGAGACGCAGAGCATCAGACTGAGGGCATGTGGAACAGAGAAGGGGCCACCCCACAGTGCACCCCCCAACACAAGGATGGGCTTTTCTGGTTTCTGTGTCCCCCCCCCCCTTTCTTCCAGGGCCTGGGTCCACTGCTGTTGACAGCTGGGGTCACATAGCCCACCCATGTAGAAGTGGGACATTGAGGACAGCAGCCAGGACGGGACGGGGACTTCTCCATGGTCCCCCACGCAGACCCCACATTCGCCAGAACAGTGGAGAAAGAGAGACGGATGGGAAGTTGGATGTATGCTGGACGGAAGAATGGGTGGAAAGTTAAGGGTCTTCACGATTGATTCAGGGAAGGAAGAACGTGTCATAGCTACATGTGGAGGGGCTTCAAAACCTCATAGAGAAGTGGAATGAAAAGATCACGGAATTCCTCCATGAACTTTCGGAAGCCCCCTCATAGATCCATGGATTGGGTGAATGGGTGGGAAAACATGAATGAATGGGTGGGGACATGTGTTAAATTATTGTGTAGATGAATGGTGAGATCAAATCACAAATAGATTCACTGGACGGAGGAGAAAAACTCAGTGAACACAGACTCAGGAGTGGGTGGTGGAGAGATTGTCTGGATGTATGGATGAGTGAACCAGTGGGCAGCTGGACAGAGGTGGATGACCAATGGATATATTCATGGACAAAGAGGGAAGACTATGGGTGGTAGATGGACGCTACACGAATAACCTTTAAGGTAGTGGAGAGGCTGGTGGCTTTGAACTGCTAAACTTGCAGCTAGCAGCCCAATGGATTAACAACAATGCCACCAGGGTTTATTCTTTACTGGTTAAATTACCACAAACACCTCGTGGCGGTTGGCTTCTTGGTTTGGAGGTTTAGGGTGGTGGTTTCATGGGACATCCAGTTAAGTGACCTCATGTCTAGTGTGTCTAGTTTGTCTCCTACTTGGCTGTGTAGTGCCTGGGGTGTTAAAAGCTTGCAAGCGCCCACCCAAGCTATAACAGTTAGTCTTAATTTGCTCGAGAAACAGAGGAAGAAGAAAGAGGGCACGAACTGTGTGGCTAATTGCCCCCATGAACTGCCTCCTGTACCACGAGAGCAGAAGCACTGGATGGTGCCTGGCTCTCATTCCTGCGCACGTTGAGAAGAGATTCCATGGAAGAATTATAACCAAAAGGGAGAAAAGGCAGAACAGAATTTTGAATTCCCATAGACTACCGAATTTCTAAAGCCAGGGAGGCTGGGTAACTTCCTGAAACTACTGCCCTGAAATAATCTTGCTACCTTAAACCAAAAACATCTCCTGAAGTCTTCTTTGATTCAAACAGCGGTATAGCTTAATGAGTGAAGGATGAGCTGTGGCGGTAGAGGGGTTACATGTTGGGCTGCTAGCTTGAAGGTCAGCAGTTCAAAACTACCAGCTGCCCCACGGAAGGAATGTGAGGCTGTCTACTCCCATCAAGAATTACAGTGTTTGTTTTTTTCAGGTGTTCTTTTTGCTTTGTTTATTCGTCAGTCGTTTTTCTCTCCGTATTTTATTTGGGGTAGTTTCAAATCCTAGGTCTTCAAATTCACTAAGCTTTTCTTCTGCATCATCTAATTTGCAGTTAATAATTTATTCACGGCGGTCCAGTTGCTTCTGACTCAGAGCAACCCTATCAGGGACAGAGTTAAAATGCCCCATAGGATTTGCAAGTCTGTGATCTTTATGGACAACAACTGCCACCTCTTTCTCCTGAAGAGCGGCTGGTGGGTTCGAACCACTGACATTTCAGTTAGGAGCCATGAGTCTAACCATTATACCACCAGGGCTCCTGAAGAATTACAGTTTTGAAATACATAGATTCTGTTATCTGTAGCCGTCTGCAAACCTGGCACTAAGAATTTTAGCTCTAGTACAACCCTAAAACATATTGCCCATATGCCTACTCTCCAGTTAGGCGGTGTGGGGTTTTCTGGTGAGTAATATTGAATGGACAGCCAAAAGAATAAGAATGCCCCTTAGAAGCAAGGATGGTGACACGTCATCTCTCATCTTTGGACGTATTTTCAGGAGAGACCAATCCCCAGAAAAAAATATCATGTTTGGAAAAGTAGAAGGGCAGGGGAGAAGGGGCAGACCCTCTGATGAGATGGATTGACCCAGCGGCTACACAACGGGCTCAAACAAGACAAACGTGTGAGGCTGTCCCAGAACCTGGCAGCTTCGCTCTGTTGTGCACAGGGTTACTACGAGTTGCTATCACCGCACAACAAAATGAAGAACAGCGAAGTCCCAGAACCCATCAGCAGAGTCCCCGAGGCGATGAAGCCCTTCATTGACTTCCTTTTGACTTTCAACCAGGAATGTGCCTTGCCTTCAGGCAGAGTGTAACAGAAAGTGGGTTACCTCCGCCTCCCTAAGCAGCCCAGAAAGGGGTTGTCTCCTTTAATGGCTGTCCTGGGTCTGTCCCTGATGGAGACTGCCCTACTGGGGTCACAGACTCATGAGTTTGTAAAAAAAAAAAAAAAAAAAAAGTGATCTGAAACACGTTAAATATAAAAATCCTTTCAGTATAAAAAAGAAAGGCCTTCTCCACCTGTGTGATGGCGAAGTGAATCTTGACTAGTGCATCCCACTGAAGGACCATAACAAAGCCATCGCATTCTCAGAGAGAGTTACAAAAATCTTACATAAATTTTAGCAAACCGGGGGAAAAAAAAATTGCATTTTTGGATCTCCACAGGAGCAGCTGCACCCTCTTCGACAGGGTCACTGTGAGTTGGAATTAGCTTGACGGCGATGAGTTTAATATGGGGACTACATCATATTTGCCTTAAGTGTTATAAACGCTCTCCAAAAACGAATGGCAGGCTATTGAGTGCATGCCGATTCATAGACCTTGTCGGGCCAAGGAGAACTGTCCCTGGGAGTTTGTGGGAGTCCGAAACGTGTGGTCAGCACCCCAACTTGCAGCCACTAGGCCACCAAGACTCCTCATCCGCTGCCTCTATGGGATCAAGTGGACGACTTGAAGGACGAGGCAGGAACTGCAAGAGGCCGTGAGTTTGTGTGAATGGGCGAGGAGTCATTCGGAAAGGGGGTTGGGAATGGCTCCATCCTTACTAAAACGTTCCCTCCCATGTCCCCGGATGGTGTACGTGGAAACGGCGGACTCTGGCGCATGCGCTGCTGCATAGATGCGCCACAGCAACGAAGGCAGCGCGCCTCTATTTTCCCACCATGCCCAGGTGGAAAAACAGATGCCCGTGGGGTGACCTGCATGAGGCCCAGCCACAGGCGGGGCTGATTCCAGATGCGCGAGCTGTGGAGGGACCCAGGGGAGCTGTCAGAGTGGCGCCCAGGGCGGTACCCACGCGGTGCCCGTTGAAGACATAGGCCAGTTCATCAGCTCCCAGCTCTAAATCAGGTCGCAGCTCGGGCCGGGCCCAGCCCACTCGCATCTCGCCCGTGGTGACTGCCTCAAACTCGAAGTACCAGCGGCCGCTCTGCACGGCATAGGATCGCTCTGCCCGGAAGATGCGCACGCGGTCCCAGCGGGACTGGCTCTCCACCAGACCTACGAAGTGGTAAGGTAGGATCAGAGGGGCTGGGTGGGGACGCCACATGGAGACATCGGGAAGTTGGTCGGAGGGACCAAGGGTGGGGGGGTGGCTAGTCTTGGCAGACTAGGGGAAGAGGGACGCTTTGGTAAAGAGTTAACTAAGAAGAATTGGGGATCACAGTCAGAGAGTGAGACGCCCCATTTCCCTTTCGCAGTCAGAGCGCAGCGAGGACAGGCACTGAGAGTAAAATGCGGGGGGCAGAGTGCTGGCTGGGGTCCAAGGCCTGATTAGGGTGGGCGGCTGGAAACCAACGTGGAGAGCAGGGTTGGGGGTAAAGTCAGGGTCAGGGAAGAGCTGGAAACTGAGGTGGGGGTCAGGGATTCAGGGCTGGGAACCAGTCAGGGTTAGGTCCGAGGCTGGGATTATAGTTGTAACCAAGTCAGGGGTCAGGGGTCAGGTTGGGGGTTGGAGGTTAGAGACTCTGTGAGCCCCTGTTTGGGTCATTCCATGTGGCAGCTATAGCTCAGCCAGAGATCAAGGGTCAGGGATCAAAGCTGAGCTCCCAATTGAGTGGCTTGAGACTGTAGCTGCATGCAGTCAGGATTGAGCCATGTGGGTCGAGGTCAGGGTCAGGATTAGGGTCAGGGTCGGGTGGGGTTGGTTTTCACTGATTTCCTTGTCAATCGGCTTGATACTTCAGAATCCAGTGTCAGCAGGTCAGGGGTCAGGGCTGGAGGCAGCAGTCTGGGTCCGTGTCAGTCAGAGCCAGAATTGAGGTCAGAGATCAGGAATCAGCGGTCACTGGGCTCGTGCACAGGTGACTCAGGCTGCAACCATAGCCCAGTGGGGGCTGATTTAAAGGTCAGTGGTCAGGTCAGGGTTGGGGTCATGGGTTTGGGTCAAGCGACAAGGTCAGTGCTCATGGGGTTCCTGGTCAGGGAGCTCAATACTGTCATACTGTCATTATAGCCTAGTAGGGTCAGGGGCCAGGAGCCAGGTCAGGGCTGGATCAAAGGTCTGAGTTCAGGGTTGGGATCAGCACTCACTGGGTTCTTGGTTATGGAGCTCAATGTTGGAAACATAACCCAATGGGTTCAGAGGTCAGGCGTCAGGTCTGGGCTGGGGGTAGGGTCTGGGTCCAGGATCAGGGAGTCTGGGTTGAGGTCAAGGGTTTGGTCCGGGATAACGGGGTCAGGGAGTTTGCTGCTGCAGCCATAGCCCAGGTAGAGGCTGAGTAGGGCCAGGGGTCAGGATCAAGGGTCTGGGTCACGGGTCAGAGGTCAGGGGGGTCATTGCTTACTGGGCTCCTGGTCGGGTGGCTCGATGTTGTAGCCATAGCCCAACAGGGTGCGCACGGCCTGGCACAGGCTGTCCCGGTTGCTGCGTTTGGTGGCTTCATCCAGCAGGCGGTAGGGCACAAGGCGAGGGTTTCGGCGCGCAGGGATGTCCTGCACGGCGCTGTAACTCCAGCCCTGGCCAACACGGTCTCGCGCCCACACGTTGTGCCCGTTCTCTGCCAGCCGGTCCACCAGGGTGGTCTGAGCCGGTGTCAGGCGCACGTGGCTCAGGTCCAGGGGGGCCGGCTTGTACCCGTTGCTCATCATGTAGCTGTGGCGGGGGGGGGGGAGTGGGGGGCAGCCCTCAGTGGGCACCCCTGCTTTCTGAGCCATCTGTGACCCTCAGCCTTGGCGCTGGAATTACTGGCCTCTGATCTTTGTGATCAGAGTTCTGTGATGCTGGCATGCCTCACCTTTGACCCCAGGATCCTTCAACCTTAGCTTTGACCTACCCTTCAACCTTAGCTTTGACCTACGAGCCCTCTGGCCAGGATCCTCTGACCCTTGTCAGGGTTGTGACATCACTGACCTCGAGCCTCTGTCACCCCCTCATCTCAGCTTTGGAAGGAGTCTTGGTGGTGCTGTGGTGCTGTAGGTTAGGTGTTGGGCTGCCAACCTCAGGGTCAGCGGTTCAACTCCACCAGCTGCTCCTTGGGACAAGATGAGGCTGTTTGTGCCCCTAAAGACTGACAGCCTCGGAGACCCCAGACAGGGTCATTATGGGATGGAACAGACTCGAGGGCAGTGGGTATGGGTGGTTTCCATCTTAGACTCTGATCTCTAACTCAGGTTTCTTAACTCTGATGACGTCAGGCCCACAGGACTCCAAATTTCTAGCTTTTGAGTCTTTGACTTCTGAATATCTACCTCTGAGCTCTCGTCTGTAACTTCAGGGCCCCCTCCATAGAACTCTGAGGGAGAAAGAGGGGGCTCTCTCTGCTCCCGAAGAGAGTGACCGTCTCAGGGGCCCAAGGGGCCATTCCAGAGTCGCCTCGATGGCAGCGAGCAGTTGTGCACGTACAGCGCCAGCACGCCACCTTTCCCACCTCTTACCACGGACCCTTTGTCTCTCACTTGGAACCCTGACCTTTTATTTTCCATGACGCCATCGCTGACCCTGACACCGAGTCCCAGGCGTCCCTGGGGGACTCTTGGTCTTCAATCCTGGCCCCTCCCACAGGACACCTCACCTTTGACCCCAGAGTGACCATCACACTAACCCATGGCCCCTTTGCCTCTGACCTCAGTCTCCTCACAAGACCCTTGTACCATTCCCACCCTCTCCATACCAGCCCCAGGTCCGCGCCCCCACTGCCCGCCCTCCCCCACCCCAACACTGCCTTCACTACTCCCCAGATGGGGCCAGGCCCCCCACACTCACGTCTTGGGGAGTTTCGTCTTCTTCAGGTTATCCTCCGCCTTCTCATCTGCCATGCCCACGTGGCAACCCAGTGCCAGCAGGGTCCTGGGGCAGGAGGGGCAGGGAGTTACACTCCACAAGTCTCCCCGCTCTGGCTCCTCTTCCACCTCCTCGAGGCCCCGCCCCCAAACCCACAATCAGCTCTGTCTGCAGGCCTCTAGCTTCCTTGGCGGGTGTCGCGCCCTGGCACTCTGGGCATCTCGGTCCCCATCTCTCTCTTGGCCTCTGACTCTCTGAGGTATGTGCTTCCAGGTCGCTTTATCTCGAGCCTCCTGGACCCTGTGCATCTTTTTTTTCTTTTCTTTTTTTTTAGAGTGAGTGAGTGAATGAGAGTGAGTGAGTGAATGAGTGAGAGAGTGAGTCAGTGAATGAGAGTGA